TATGATATGCAAATTCCCCCTTTATCAGACCCGAACAGAGTCTTTACACCTGCGAGCTTCTCCTCCTGTCTCTACGGTAATTTTTCTACTGTGTGCCGGAGAGTCGATTCGTTATGACCACTCCATTTTGTTTCTTTATATTTTTTATGTTTTAATGATAAAGAATGCAAAATTAATGCAACATAAAATTAGAAACTATGATAATATAAAATTAAAATGAAAGTAATCCGTGCCTCAAGTGGGGCGGCACAAGCATATTTTGTGGGCGGGTGGCTATGGCCCTCCCTTAGCGATGGGTGTGTCTTCAACCAATTAATTTTGAATGTGTTGTTGTTAGTATCATCAAAATGCAGGACTTCAAGTTCCCCCTCACTTTTTTGTTGGCTAAAATATATTTCTTCAATTTGTGAGATTTATTATTCCATAGTATTAGAGATAGCAATAATTGTAGACTGGAGAAAATTGCTTTTAAGAAGAATGTGGTATCATCTTCTAATTGTGAGAAATCGAATCTCTCTGTTAAAGACACTAAGACCAACAAAGTTATTACTGCACAAAATATCAATGGATAATGTTTCTACAACCAATAAAAATAAAAATGGGCTTGAAGGCCAACTCTGTCTTATTCCGCAAAGAATAGGACACCTTGGTGATGCTCATGAATTTAAAATTATACAGCTATCAATATCTTTTTACAACATTTAGACAACATTAATAAAAATGGATGGGAATCGAAAAGCCTCTAAAGAGCTCAAAAGGAACTGTGGTCTACAGTGTCGACGAAGGCCTTATAAAAATCAAGGAATAAGATAATTGCATGGAACGCAGCCCTCGAACATACTTACTTACTTTCTGTTGCATACACGCAGTCTCAAGTGGCCAAGATGGCAAATGTTGGTATTTGGACAGGCCCTCTGATTACTGTCATTGTATTATTGGGATAGCCAATTTATTCTAGTGATTCAATTAAAAATGGCACAGCATCTGTTAGAAATTATATTCCTTAAATTAAATTATAAATTCTATTACTGGAATTCTATTACTGTAAGGTTATAGGTGATATGTTATCTTTAATAAACTTGTAACTTGTATTAATAACTTGTATTTCTGAATATGTATTTAGCTTGGTAAGCTTCATTTTCAAAGTGGCTTCCACAACACAGCTCACGAGCAGCATTCTAAAATCTAAAATGCAAATAAAACACCCTGTGGCATTGTGGACTTGAAGAACACATGCGTTGAAGGCCACAAGATCAGAAGTCCACATTAAGTGCAGCATCTGGGACAAGGCTTTGGATATTTCGAACACGGGCTGACAATGAACGTACTAAAACACACACCTCACCAAGCATGCCTGTGTAGTGATTTTGAGTAATGAAGAGGTAATCAAGTCAGGGCAAGAACAATTAAACCACAAAGGCCCTCTCAATCTCTGCCAAGGTTATGCTTCTTAATAACTAATGGGATGTCTTTATCTCAAGGGTTGCACTACATAATACGCCACTACATCTGTTTATTGCAAGGCTGGGAGAGACACTGGAGTAATTTGTAGTCATCAGTAAATTCACCCTTGGCTAAGCCCCGCCCCCCTTAGTTACTGTTGCTACATCCTCAAACTTTATCTGCGCTCTGCATGGCTTATGCGGTAACAGCTCTTCCTGCTGAAATGTTATCAAACTTTTATAAATCACTAAAAGCATCAAATAAAGTGTCCGATAGAAATAAGCAAAAGGGGCTGCAATATGCGTTCGAAGGCTATAGTCAAGACACACAGGTGAAACGCAAGAAACAACAAGGCATCCAAAATAGAGGCAAAAGCATAACGTTACTGGTCACAGTCAAAAAATGAACCACCGCATTTCCTACTAATCAAGACGGAGGCTGGGACAAACAATATCAGGGCAACTGTTCATGCAAAGCTGGGTAGGTCTCTATTCACTTCTATAATTGTTATTACAAAGCAAACGGACTACACGAGTATAACATTGTATTTATTAGCAGCGTGTGCTAGCGTATCAACAACCGGTATGAGAACCGAAATGATAACCTAAAACATTATAAAACGGTCTAACTAGTATAACTTCACACTCACAGTAAGGATAGAAGTAAAAAAAGATGTGCTTGTTGATCTTTGTGGGGTTTAGCTGACAGAGGACATCCACACAGTTTCCAAAGACGACACTTGTCAGGATTTTACTTCGGTTTTGGGAAGGGAAAAAACGGAAACCCCCCTCCAACCTCTCTGGGAAACGCGTATCTGTGTTACAAATGCCCGAGGCACAATGTTTAACCATATTTTGGATGAAACTACGACGGTAATAGCCTGTATATATGAGACGCCTGTGTTGAAAGTCAATGGAGCGCTGAGAAAAAGTGTCCAACCTCTGTGGGAGCTCGTTCTTGGCTGCGCTGTAATTGGTCAATCTACATTCTAGGGCGTGGCTTAGCCAAAGGTGAATTCTAGTCACTCAGTCTGTATGTACTGTGCTCTGATGTTGGTAAAGGCAGACAATAGTCTGCATGACATTTTATCCATTATGTCATGTATTATATAATATACTGCCCTACAAAGCAAAAAGGCAGTAACTTCACAGAGTTCAGAACTGAGAAAAATGACTATAACTCTGGCTTTTTGCAGTTACTGTACAAACGACTACCATTTTTCTCCAAAACGACACACATTTGAGATAAGATCCTTTGTCACATAACAAAAAATCCCTTCTATTCAGGACATTTATAATGGTACAAGGGATTTATTCTTATACATAAATAATAATATTAATAATAATAATTAATTAGGCTAACCATATTCTTAACCCAGAAACTAAAATGGCAAGTGGTGCCATTAGTAACACTACTGAAGTTTCCCCTTTTTAACCCTCTTGGGTTGTTAGTTTCAGAGTCACACTTGGGGTGTTCGGGTCCAAATGGACCCAAAGGGCAGGATTCATATTTTTAAAAAAAATCATAATTTTTTTTTACTTGTTTTTTATAATTTTTTTCTTTTCTTTTTTGGTGTTTTAAGATAATTTTATGATTTATAATTAATATTTATGCAATAATTATGACCCATTTTTTCCCATTGAACATAATAGAATTTTTTTATTATTATTTATTTATTTTTTTTTTTTATCAAAGCTGTATTACATTTTAGAGTGAAGCCTAGGCCTCATGAAAGCAATTTTTGAAAAAAGATAGATGTCATCTGGTAGACACACTGAGCATTTTTATCACGCAATAGCACATTTTTACCACTATAGTGGATTAGTGGATACAGTACAGCTCTCTGTAGAAAGGCTTGGGGATTCTAGCGATTTTTGCAAATACCAATTGTTTTTCAGGTTGTTGATTTTTAAATTATAAAAACAGATTCTTAAAAACTATTTTGTCTTGTTTTTTGTTTGTTTGGTTGGTTTAGATGGTAATTTGAAGTTTATTATACAATCAAATCTGAACATTGCATTGGAAAGAGAACAAATGGAAAGCATTTTGTTACCCAATGTTTAATTCTCATTCTAACTTAATAAAAATGCAATTCTTTCAGTCATAACATATATTTAAATTATTTGCATACTATTTACATAGGCCATTCTATGAACAGTAACTCAAAATTGGCACAGGTGCTGCATTAGGCCTGGAGGTTACTAGGGTAGAACTCCATCCTTTGATCTAATCTCTCTCTGTGTTTGTGTGTGTGTGTGTGTGTGTGTGTGTGCCTGTTTTGCACTCTTGATGTTTTAGAGATTCACCCCTTCACCATTGAGTCATTTTTTCTGCATTCTGGCTGATTTGTATATTGTATGCACAAAAAAAACTGTTTTCATATTTTCGACAATTTCCCATTCATTTCCAATGGGGGTAATTTGGACCCGAATGTCCTGAGTGTGATAAAAAAAAAAAAAAAATTACAACCACTTAGACTATTCAAATAGACTATTCTATTTGAACAGTCTATGTTTTCATATTGGCTAATCTGTGTTTTCATATTTTTGACAATTTCCCATTCATTTACTAAGGGGGTCCATTTGAACCCGAAGGTCCTGAGTGTGACTATTTTTTTACAACCACTTAGACTGTTCACATCCTGTCCCCAATTTTTTTGTGTGTTCACATACCTAATACCATAAAAGTCACCTAGTTTCGTAACATTCCGATGAAGCTGTGATTTTTAAAAATTCAAAACAGATTTATGTAATCTGAATTTATGAGTGTGAAAGTGTATAAAAGTGTGTGTGTTTGTGTGTGTGAGTGTGTGTGGCTGTGTCTGTTTTGCACTCTTTGTGTTTTATAGATTCACCCCTTCACTGTTGTGTGCTTTTTTTATGGATTGTGTCTGATTTGTAGACTGTACGCACCAAAAAACTCTGTTTTTTCACATTTTTGCCAATTTCCCATTCATTTCCTATGGGGGTCCATTTGGACCCGAACACCCCAAGTGTGACTATTTTTTTTTTACAACCACTTAGACTGTTCACATCCTGTCCCCAATTTTTTTGGGTGTTCATATACCAAATACCAACAAAGTCACCAAATTTCGGACCGTTCCGAAGAAGCTGTGATTTTTAACATTTTTTTATTTGAATGCTTCGGGTCCATTTGGGCCGAACAACCCCAGAGGGTTAAAATATATTAAAATAGAAAACAGTTGTTTGAAATGATAATGTTACTGTTTTTACTGAAATCTGGATCAATTAATGCACAGCCGTGGAGAGTATCAGAAATTTCTTTTAAAAACATAAAAAAAAAAATTAAAAATCTTATACGGACAGTTACAAAATATTGTATTATTTACATATTCAAATATTGACGCTACAATTTATTATATTTAATTATTGTTTATGAATCATATTTCAACAGAAATACAGATTATTTTACAAACTAAAAACTTCCCAATTTAAGTACGAACGGTTGGTTTACATAGTCAGCCTTGACGACTGACTTTTATTTTGAAAATTAAAGCGCGGAAGCTGGGTGGGCATGGGGTTTTTTTTAGATTGTTGTTTTATGTGTTATGTTGTCAAACAAAACTCGTTGGCGGCAATGCACCAAAAGCTGGTTGCCAACCGCCGTTGAATAAGAATAAGAAGAAGAAGAAGAAGAAGAAGAAGAAGAAGAAGAAGAAGAAGAAGAAGAAGAAGAAAAAGAAGACAACTCGTCCTGTTGTCTGATATGTGAAAAATAAGTAACGGTGAATGATTTAGCGTGCATATTTGTGGCTTTAGTTTATCAAATCTGACAGGTATTAAGATCGTTTTAAACAACTTAATAAAAAAAGTTATATTGGTTGGTCGCACAGACTAAATGAAAGGGTAAGTTACACATGGACTGACTGCATGTGTATCTCTTCTCTTATCAAGACTCTCTAAACCAAACAACTCACACAGATTTTAATATTAATCTTTAAAATGAAAATGCCTCTTTCTTCTGGACACAGGTATGACGGTGGTGAATGTATCATTTGCAGCGGCTGGGTTTTTAGGAGCATATCATCTGGGGGTAACAGAGGCTTTATTGCGACACGGAGATAAACTGCTGTCCTCTTTAAAAGCCTGCGCTGGAGCTTCAGCTGGTGCTTTAGTGGCCACTGTGATGATCACTGCTCCTGATAAACTACAGGTAACGATATTCAGTTACAACCCAGAACATGTTACAACAATGGTATTCTGGTCAACAAACTAGTAAAATGTGTTTAAAATAAAGTGCCAGCAACGTTCATCTAAAAATGTTGCTTATTTTACTAAAAGAGTTGCATAACTTCAAATATGAAAACATTTAGAATACATTTAGAAATATTCCAGCTTTTCCTATTTTTCTTTTAAATGATCAAATGCACAAAGTATTGGCAATACATTTTATGAATTCTCTGATACAAAATTTCATAGCATTCATCGTTTAAATAATTAAGGTACATTTAATGAGTTTTAATTGCCTGAGCTTCACTAAAGTACATTTATGAATGTCTACTGTACCCTTTTGAGAAACTAAAATGTTTTTATTTGATTTGATATTTTGTAAAGTAGCTCAAAAGGGACTGCAAAACAGCAGTGTCCTTCATTTTGGGAAGGACACTGTTTGGGAAAACTGACTGACCTGTTTAGACTTGAAAGTGATTGTGTTCCCTGTCAAGCCAACAGATCTGTAGAAACCACAGATTTCTCACAGTTGCATCACCGAGGCTCAAGCATGTAACTGACTGAGCCCTTTACCTATATGTTCTGACTTTGTGTTTTGTTACAGCATTGTAAGGAATTCACCTACAGGTTTGCCAGTAATGTGAGAAGTCAGAGATTTGGAGCTGTGACGCCAGGATATGACTTCATGCTTGAACTGAGGTAAATGCGGCTCTCAGACTCAATTTTTTTGATCGAACGAAAATTATTCACTAGGTTGAAATTAACCCCAGGGGGCTATTTTTCCTGCATGCAGAATTTTAATCAGTAAGGCTGTCTTGGTAAGATATCCTACTCAGCTATTTCTTTCACTCAACTATGTTCACCTCATTTCAAATCAAAGAATTACATTTCAAAATGGTGTTAGAATATTGCGATAGATGGTACTGAGGCTGGATCAAAATTACCCTGCACTGAAAACACCTTGTTAGGGACTGTTCATTTTTTTTTTATTTAAGGGGCCACCGGAGGAGTTTTGAGATCTGTTGTCAAAAAAGACTTGACCAGTATTACTTCGCCAGTAATACATTTTTCTATGACCCTTCAAAATGATTGTAAAAAAAGGCACTTTGAAATTTTGCTTTTTCATGAATACAAAAGTTGGGTGACCCTCCCCCTAGACTAAAAAAAATGGAATGACCCTCCGCTCAACAAAGAATAAATATACATGACCATCCCCTATTTTCCTACGGTGGACCTTTCCACAAATACCGAACAGTCCCTTACATATTAAAAAAAAAAAAAAAAAAAAGTTATTTTTGCAAATGGCAGAAAATCTCTTATTTGTTACTGTTGTTATGCTTTTATGATTTTCTCTGATGCCATTGCAGTTTTTTAAATAAAATGTATTTGTAAAATAATAGGTGGCCAGTTTCTTCAAATTGACATTGTGGAGACTTTTTCAGTTGCTGTGAAACGTATTGTTTTTATAGTGGAAGCATTATTGCTGAAAAGAGTGGGTGTTGATTGAGTATGTGTAACTGATTTAATCTCACAAATACATCAAATAAAACATAATATAATCTAAGAATGTGTAGAAAGAAAAGAAATACAAGTAGAAAATAAAGTTAATTTAAATAATTTGGTGGACAAGAAAAGCAAGTTCTCTATAGTTCACCCCAATACAAAAATTATTTCATTTAGCCAACATTATGACCAACAAATATATTATATATATATATATATATATATATATATATATTTTGAAGAAGAAGAAGAAGAAGAAGAAGAAGAATTAAGATTCTAGGAACTACACTACAGTGTCAAAAAGTATAATAAACACCATAACGTATCAAAAGTTGTAGATATAATTATAGCTTATGTGAAGCTATATTTTCACAAAATACACATTAGTTAACCTTTTGCTTGAGTCTGTCCCTTTCAATCTGTTTATGTGGAACACAAAATTGACTTGCTTGAACGATTAATTCACAAATCACACTCAACTGTTTCTTGAGACTCAATAATCCATTTGCAGTTATTAATTAAGTTGGCTTGAGAAAGCCAACTTACTGAAATCCTATTTAAACTTATTATTATTAGTGGTGCTTGCTGAAAGCAAGGCAACACTATTACTATTGTGTTTTTTGAGCCGGCCCAAAAGTTTGGCACGCTACTCCTCCCGCAGTTTTTGTCACACACCCATGAATGAGGTCTCAAAACGTGCGGAATATTCGGGAATGGTGTGCTATGACTTTTCTAAGCGATCGGGGGTACGATGTTCGCCCGAAGGGCGAACAAATTTCCCAAAAATCCCATAGACTTAACATTGCGACAAACTTTGACGACTCATAGCTCCGAGCGAGGATTTCACAGAAGCCTGCGATTTACCACATTTGAAGAGGCTGACAGGCTCTGTAAGAACATACCTCACAATGGGGTAAAAGTTGCACCCCTGGGGGGCAGGAGCTGCCCAAATATTCCCCCATTGACCCCCATGTTATTTATTAGTGGTGCTTGCTGAAAGCAAGGCAACACTATTACTATTATGTTTTTTGAGTCGGCCCAAAAGTTTGGCACGCTACTCCTCCCGCAGTTTTTGTCACACACCCATGAATGAGGTCTCAAAACGTGCGGAATATTCGGGAATGGTGTGCTATGACTTTTCTAAGCGATCGGGGGTAAAATGTTCGCCCGAAGGGCGAACTAATTTCCCAAAAATCCCATAGACTTAACATTGCGACAAAATTTGACGACTCATAGCTCCGAGCGAGGATTTCACAGAAGCCTGCGATTTACCACATTTGAAGAGGCTGACAGGCTCTGTAAGAACATACCTCACAATGGGGTAAAAGTTGCACCCCTGGGGGGCAGGAGCTGCCCAAATTTTCCCCATTGACCCCAATGTTATTTATTATTAGTGGTGCTTGCTGAAAGCAAGGCAACACTATTACTATTGTGTTTTTTGAGTCGGCCCAAAAGTTTGGCACGCTACTCCTCCCGCAGTTTTTGTCACACACCCATGAATGAGGTCTCAAAACGTGCGGATTATTCGGGAATGGTGTGCTATGACTTTTCTAAGCGATCGGGGGTACGATGTTCGCCCGAAGGGCGAACATATTTCCCAAAAATCCCATAGACTTAACATTGCGACAAACTTTGACGACTCATAGCTCCGAGCGAGGATTTTGCAGAAGCCTGCGATTTACCACATTTGAAGAGGCTGACAGGCTCTGCAAGAACATACCTCACAATTGGGTAAAAGTTGCACCCCTGGGGGGCAGGAGCTGCCCAAATTTTCCCCATAGACCCCAATGTTATTTATTATTCTTATTAGTGGTGCTTGCTGAAAGCAAGGCAACACTATTACTATTGTGTTTTTTGAGTCGGCCCAAAAGTTTGGCACGCTACTCCTCCCGCAGTTTTTGTCACACACCCATGAATGAGGTCTCAAAACGTGCGGATTATTCGGGAATGGTGTGCTATGACTTTTCTAAGCGATCGGGGGTACGATGTTCGCCCGAAGGGCGAACATATTTCCCAAAAATCCCATAGACTTAACATTGCGACAAACTTTGACGACTCATAGCTCCGAGCGAGGATTTTGCAGAAGCCTGCGATTTACCACATTTGAAGAGGCTGACAGGCTCTGCAAGAACATACCTCACAATTGGGTAAAAGTTGCACCCTTGGGGGGCAGGAGCTGCCCAAATTTTCCCCATAGACCCCAATGTTATTTATTATTCTTATTAGTGGTGCTTGCTGAAAGCAAGGCAACACTATTACTATTGTGTTTTTTGAGTCGGCCCAAAAGTTTGGCACGCTACTCCTCCCGCAGTTTTTGTCACACACCCATGAATGAGGTCTCAAAACGTGCGGAATATTCGGGAATGGTGTGCTATGACTTTTCTAAGCGATCGGGGGTACGATGTTCGCCCGAAGGGCGAACAAATTTCCCAAAAATCCCATAGACTTAACATTGCGACAAACTTTGACGACTCATAGCTCCGAGCGAGAATTTCACAGAAGCCTGCGATTCACCACATTTGAAGAGGCTGACAGGCTCTGTAAGAACATACCTCACAATGGGGTAAAAGTTGCACCCCTGGGGGGCAGGAGCTGCCCAAATTTTCCCCATTGACCCCCATGTTATTTATTAGTGTGAATGCTTCAAGCATTCACACTCTTGAAATCCAAATCTTTCTTATTATTATTCCGTATTCTTCCGTACGTTTTTCGGTCGCTTTCTTCTCCTCTCTACTTTGTGCTACAAAAACCATTCAAGTATCAAAATGTGCAGCTTTTCAAGGACATGTGTGCTATTACTTTTCTTTTTTATAACCTTTATAATTTTTAAATTATTAAACTTTTTGTGCATATTTTTTAACATGGAAGTCAATGGAGAATTCTTCAAATTCTGTTTTATGCTCCTTCTGCTTTCAAAGCCTACAACTTCTGCATACTTTCAGCTATTTCTGTCATTTAAACTTTAAAATGTTGAGAAATTTGTAAGCTATTAAAGTTGTATTCAACTTTTTGATATCTATTATACTTTTTTCACAATCTCTACTTTAGTCTCATGATGTTTTTCAAGCTGTTTCTGAAATTATAATGGGAGTGAATGAGAGAGACTGTTCAGAGCTAGAGCACGTGCTAAGCTAGAGTGAGCCAGCTTGAAACCTAATGCTAAAAAAACATTTTTAAATCGCTGGCCTGGCCACAATTTTCACTCTTTGGGCATAAAATTATACTTGAAACGTAGGTATTTTTGTTGTGGTTCCTCTCATGTGTTTAGTAAATCCCTGGGACTTATAGTTTTTTCTCTGTGTCCTTCCAAAGGACAAGAGTGACAGACATTCCTCCATTGGCAGCAATTATAAATTCAGGTCAAACTTTTGTGATCAGAGCAATACAAACCAGTTTTTTAACTTGCCAAAGTGGTCCCTTTTTTTAACTCTATCCACAAAAAAATACATCACATCGTTCACAAAGGCCTTGTCTCGCTCACGGTCAGGTCATTTCGCCAATACAACCTATAGTTTTGTCTCTATTGAGGTTTGTTCGAGGCCAAGTATCAGCAATTTTGGCCTCTGTCTAAATAGGAAAGCTGATTGCACAGGTGATGCTGATTAGCAAAGATCAAAGGGAGACACACATAATTGGTCCTGTGTTCTGATTGGTGGACAGTCACTCAGCTCTTTTCTGAAGGATACTACAAGTTTTTGTTGCATTTATGCCTCTACTTCTCCTGTTCTCCCTCTCTCTTCCCTCCTCTTCTCCTCCTCCAATCCTCTACTCCTCCTGTCCTCCTATTCTACCCTCCTTTCATAATCTCTTCTCCTTTCTACTCTTCCTTTTATCCTCTTCTATCCATCTGCCTGTCTTAACTATTTGACTTTCTGTGTCCAAATGATCTATCTATCTATGTATAGACTATGTATGTATCTATCTGTGTATCTATCTATGTATCTATCTATCTATCTATCTATCTATCTATCTATCTATCTATCTATCTATCTATCTAACTAATCCATCTATATTTCTAACTAATCTATCTTTCTTTCTTTCTAATATACTATCTTTCTTTCTAAATAATCTTTTCTTTCTAGCTATACTATCTATCTTTCTAACTGATCTATCTTTCTTTCTTTCTAAATAATCTTTCTTTCTAACTATACTATCTGTCTTTCTTTCTAACCAATATATATTTCCTTCTTTCTTTC